AGAGACTGTCCCTTGCCACTGCAGCACAGGCAGCACCCAGCTTCAGGAGGGTAAAAGAAAAACAATTGGAAAGTCAGTAAATATAAATCCTGAGAATGGCTCTAGGTTGAGCGGTGTGAGTGTATCAGGAGCTAGCCACTCAGGGAAAAGGTATTGATTGCTGACAGGCCACAATCCTACCCACAACCTAGGCCCATCACAGCAATTCCAAGCTAGAGGAAACAGCCATCTCCCTCTTTTATAATATTCAAAGCAGTTCTCTCTCCCTCTGAACTAGCCTGGGAGAGGGTCATAAAGTCCCTGGTAAGGCAGAGCTTCATTCTTCCTGCTCAAACAAACTGATTTAAGAAACCAATCAAGCAAACCACAAGCAAACACCACAAGCAAACCACAGACTCTACCAAGAGACTGATTACAGACACAGAGGGGAAAAAAAGTGAAGAACTCTTTTTTTTTTCCTACCTAATTTTAAAAAAATTAGAAAGAATTCTAAAATTTTAAATTAAAAAGTGTTTTCTATTTTTATTTTAGATTTTTTAAAATTCTTTTTACTCTTTTCCCTTTTGGTCCTTTTTCTTTTTTTGCTTTACTCAATTGCTGTTCTGTTCATCCCCAGATATATACCTGTCTTCAGTTATTAGACCTTATCCTTCATTGTGTGCATAATTAGTTCAGATATTGATTACTCAATTCACAAACTCTCAGCCTTAGCTCCTTAATTGTAGTATTATGACTTTATACTTATATATAATTTTCAGTGTGTTTTTATTTTTCAGTTTTCTTTTTTCTTTATCTCTTTTATCCTTTCCTTCAATCCTTTCTCTCTCTCTGAATTTAGTTCTTGGTTATATTCTTTCTCTCTCTTTCCCTCCTCATATTCCTCTAATCTTATTTTCTCCTCACAATTCTCCCTACACCTATTAATTTCTGGTCTGCTGACTTTCGTTGATTTTCTTGGTCCATTGATCCCTAGTAATTTGTTGTTGAACTAAATTGTATCTGTTGAACTAGATAGTACATGTACTCATTTGACTTCATCAAATAATCTGTGCAACTACAGGGCTCTGGTAGATGCTTGCCTTAACATAGTTTTCTAGCATGGAATTGGTTTCGCTTTCATTCCCAAATGGGCAAAACAAGCCAGAAAACACAAGAAAAATGGCAAGTCCATGTATCTCAACTCCTGCTCATGAAAATCAGGAAAAAGAACAGTTAATAAATAATCCAGAGAAGAATTCCCAAAATGCTCTACAAACATTACTCATAAACATACTGAATGAAAGAAAAGACTGGAAGCATGCAAAGGACTCTGTGTGAGCATAATAGGGAAATCTGTGAGCATGATGAGGCCAACCAAAGATTAATACAAAAATTTCAAGAGATTAATGGGAGAATTGCCTGAACAGTATGAAAATAAACAAAGACTAATGGAGGCATTCATGGAATCAATGAACAGAAAGCTAACGGAATCAATGGAGGCCACAAAGGGAATGCTGAATGAAACCCAACAGAAGGAAAAGGAGTCCCAAGAAACTATAACCAATCAACTAAGGGATTTGAGAATGAACACTGACAACAAAATTAAGGAATTAAGAAGACCATGCAAGATCAAAAACAAAGCTCCAACAACGAACTTTACAACTTTGGTGAGGGAATGGGGGGAGGTTGGGAAGGGATGGAAGGGGAAACAAAGAGGAGGCAACAATGCTTGATAAGAAATGTACTCATTATCTTGCCCATGTAATTGTAACTCCTCTATATGGTATTCTCACAATTAAAAAATAAAGAATTTGAAGCTATCCAATCTGACCAATTAGAAGGAAAGAAAATAATAAACAAAGTAGAAAGTTTTGAAAGATTGAAAACTGAATCTCTGGGATTGAAGACAGACTAGACATTGTAGAAGAAGAACAGACAAATATTCAAAACAAATCCAAGAAGCATGATAGATCTATTCAACATTTAGAAGACACCATCAGATCACCTTATTTAAGGCTAATGGGTGTAGCGGAAGGCCTAGAGACAGAAATGAAAGTTCTAGGAAATTTATTTAACAGTATCCTAGCAGAGAACGTCCCAAACATGCATAAAGATAGGCCCATTCAGATACAAGAAGTCTTTAGAACCCCAAATAGACCAGACCTGAATAGGATATCCCACCGTCACATTGTAAAACCACAGGATCAATTGAGACCAAGGAAAGGATAATTAAAGCTGTCAGGGAGAAAAGATCAATCACCTTTAAAGGAAAACTAATCAGAATAACTTCAGATTTCTCAGCAGAGACAAAGCAAGAAGAGCCTGGAATTATATATGCCATTCCCTAAAGACAAATAACATAACCAACAATACTATACCAGGCTAAACTCTCCTTTGTAAGGGAAGGTCAAATAAAAACCTTCCACAGCAAAAAAAAAAAAAAAAAATTGAAACAATATATGTTCATCAAACCAGCCCTACAAAAGATATTTAATAATTTCCTACACATAGGAAACCAACAAAAGTACAATAAAGGCCAAGCAACAGCCCCAAACAGAGAATCCAAGAATCATAGGAACAACCCAATTGTGACAGCCCCCAAGAAGGTGGATAACATGGCAGGAACTACCAAAAACCTCTCAGTCCTAACTCTCAGTATTAGTGGATTTAACTCTCCAATTAAGCAACATACATTGTCTAGTTGGATCAAAAAGCAAGAACCTTCTTTCTGCTGCCTTCAAGAGTCACACTTTGCCTATAAAAACAAACATATTCTGAAAGTGAAAGGCTGGAATAATCTACCAAGCAAATGGCCCCCATAAACAGGTGGGAGTTGCAATCCCAATATCAGATAAAATAGACTTCAAATTTAAATTAGTGAGAAGAGATAAAGAAGGTCATTACATACTCAAGGGATCTCTCCTTCAGGAGGATATTACTATTCTAAATATCTATTCACTAAATAACAGAGTACCCAAATTTATCCAAGAAATCTTACTTTCTTTCAAATCTCACAAAGATTCAAAGACATTAATTGTTAGGGACTTTAACACACTGCTATCCCTGCTGGATGGATCAATCCAGCAAAAACTCAACAGAGAAATCTCAAACTTTAACAACTGCATAGATCAACTTGACTTAACAGACATCTACCGGTTTTCACCCAGCAGCATCAGAATACATGTTCTTCTCGACAGTACATGGAACATTCTCCAAAATGGACCTCATTTTAGGTCACAAAGCAAATTTGTCCAAATTCAGAAATATTTCAATTATGCCCTGCATTCTCTCAGACCACAAGGGAATAAAATTAGAATTCAATACCAAAAACCACCAAAGAAAATAGAAATTCCTATTTATAAATGTCATAGCTTTGGGTGAACTGTCTTCCCAGATTACTTGTTCAGCTTCTCCAATAAAGTGCACTGGATAAATAACCTGACTTGGACAGTGGTGAGCCAGATAATGCCATTGTGTGAGATAATGAGAAGTTAATTTTGCTGCTGTTGAGTACTTAGGCTTTCCTTTCCACAATAGTCCTATTCAAAATAATAATAGTGTTCCTATAATTTTGAAGTAATAGTAGCATTACTATTATTTTGAATTGGAAAGATGTTTCTGAAGAATTCAAGAAAATGTCTTTTTCATTCTCTTTAAAAGGTGAAAATCTATTCATTCACAAAGATCAGTTGATGTATATATATATATATATATATACAAATGTACGTGTGTATGTATATAAATATATATACATTTATATATTATTCTCCCTCTCTATATATGTATTCATACTATTATAATATAGTGACATAAACATAAAATAATTGAAACAATATTCTGTGGCTCCCACCTGGACTTAAGGGAAAAACTATTGTGAGCCTTCATCTGAAAAATTAGCTAGACCACAAAGGACTGAGGGCATGGCTTCAATGATATAGCACTTGCCTACATAGTGCAAGCCTTAAGATCAAAATCCAGTACTGTTCCCTCAAAAGACAAAATATAACCCCTCCAAAGCACATGGCAAACTTCAAGTTTTGCATAAATAAGAAAATATATGTATAATTGACTAAATCAAAATAGCATGCTAGTAAGTCTTGGCTAAACATACATTAAGCAAGAAGTCATAAGTTAAATTCTCAATGACCAAAAATGATTCTTTGGATTGTTACATTATTTCCATGATTCAAACTCATATCTAACTTTTCTACTATACTTTGTCTTGGTGAATATCAGTTTGTCTTGTTAAAGAAAATTAACTTTTAAATTTAATAATCCTGCTCAGTTGTGTAAATAAAAGTGATGAAGACTATTAAAAGGATGTCTGATTGTCCTTCAACAACATTGATAAGAAATAGGTTCTCGGTAAGAAACCATTGTAAATAACTGAAAGATTATGAGGATTATGTCAAATTTATGAAGATTATGTCAAAGATTATGAAGATATGCAAGTGTATTCAATACTGCTGTTTACACAGTCATTTCTTTTTTAATGTAAATTTCTGTACTTATGGATTATAAACATTTTTCTCTGTACCACATAGGTTCACTCAGGCATATGTACATTCTGACTTGCAATATTCCCCATGACATAGTCATTCATGCTGCTCTCTGTAAGGGGAATACATAGCAGTATGTCTTCTGAAGCATTGGATCTTTCAAGCTTACCCTTTCACATATTCCCAATGAAGAATACTTGTGACAGCACTTCACAATTCATCTGAAAGGGTGACACATAGCAAAGGCTGAGTATTTCAATGTACAAAGACAAATACTCTTCAAAGGAGAAGGACTACTTTGAAGACAAGTTGTGCAATGGACAATGTAGTCACTCTCTTGCAGTTATACATTATGAGAGTCCAAACTTTATTATCACCAATCTTTCTCAGACAGCAAGACAGTGCATAATTTTAGCTACACTGGTCAGAAGATAATAAGGGAAGCTTCAGCAAAATAGACAATATCAATATTATTAAGAGAAAACTATCTCACCATAGAATGTCATCAGAACTCAAACCTACCTGATCTGCTATCCAGAGGTCCAAAATCCAAGGAGTATTTCACGACGTGGTAGTTATTCCATACATATAGTAAGTTGTCCCTGGGGTTGTAATCCACAGCTGCTATATACTGATATGAGTTGGGAAAGGGTACATCAACCAGACTGTCCTTGCTTTGGTCCGTGTTGTAAATGTAGTCAATCTTGTTCCCAGTGGCTTCATTGTCATCATCCTCATACACAGACTTGACCACATACAGAATCCCACAGATCATAAACGCGTTGGAAGCTGACCTTTTATCGTATGCAGTATCCCACGTCCCTTCAATCCGTAGCGTGTAAGGGTTCAGTTGACTAATGACAATTTTGCCATTGTTTTGTTCTGTTGCATAGATAACCCAGAGGCCATTTTCATCCACTGCCAAGTCAATGTCTGATTTTCCTCCCCATCGGTAAGGTGAGGTGTCATGGTAGTTGGCGTTAGCGATGATAGCTTCTCCACTCTTTATCCTAGTCCGCAAATCAAACTTGACTATGTTCCTGGTGCGTTCTTTATTGAAGAATAGAGCTCCATCATATACTACAAAGCCAGTGCCATCCACCCGATGAGGAAGCTTGTAGGTAGTGGTGGGTCTTCCAGCAATGAAGTCATCTTTGGATGAATACTCAGTTAGGGTGTCAGTTCTGTATGGGGTCCAGGGCATATAGTAAATCTTATCAGAAGCCTGCAGAGGGTCTTTACACCAAGCCCCAGATTGGTGATCAGATTCAAATAGATGTTCACTCTGGTACACGCCTTTTAGTAGTCCAGGACAAAGAAAAACTGTTGAAAGCAGAAAAAAAAGTTTAAATAGTAAATATATGCATTTAATATTGTCTCTCATGTTCTTATTCACATCAGCCAACACAAATCTAACAAGAGATGCCCACCACCACTGATTTGGCTGGAGTTTTGATTCAACTAAAGTATACTTCCTCATTAATTTTGGAATTCTTTCCAAATCACTTTATTTGCTGAAAAAAAATTTAGCGATTTTATGAGTAGCCATGTCACCTCTGTAAACAAATGTTATAATTTTTTATATGCACGGCTGTGGTAATGTATGTCTTCCTTGTATAGACATATAAAACTAAAAAAAATCATAGTGTTTTTATTAGTTCACTGAAGAACATGTCTTATTTGGAATTGAAAATACTTCCACTCTGATGAAATTAGCTGTGCAGTAGTTATTATTAAGAAACCCAGATGATAATTACACATTATTTTATTGTAAATAAAGGAGGGAAAAGTTCCATAATACAAGCCACTGAATCTTCTAGCAAAAAAAAAAGATTCTTGAAGCTCCTACAACACACACAAAGCATGCAACCCACACAATTAAAAATGAGTGATGGATGGAGACTGGAAGGAAAAAAAGAGAAAGGAAGAGACAGAAAGGAAAGAAGGAAGAAGAAAAGAAGAAAAAGCAAAAGGTTACAGAAAAGAACCCAAGATCTAGATTTTAATCAGTTAAAAATGTCCTGTTAAATACAGTAGTATTGGAACTTAAAAACATGTACCTTTTACTGTTACATGAGAAAAGCATTAAAAAAAAAACAAGATTACTTGCTATATTTTGCTGCTCATACTTCAGAATGAAAACGGGCCATATTAGATTGCCTTTTAGTATGGTTCAGTAGCATACTGAGAGTGGTAGTCAGAAATCCTGGCAGATTTATCTGTAATGAAGGGGCTATCAAGCAATGTTTCCCAAAGGGTGGTCCTTGAAGCACCTGTTTCAAGTAGTGTACTACATTTTGCACAGAAGGATGAAAGGGATCCTTAGTCATATTTGCTTAAGTGGTATCATATTAAATATAATTGCAATAGAGATCCTAATAGTAGATTGGTGGATCTCCAAGGCAGAAGTATGGAGAGTGAGCAAATTTTACAAATGAATTTGATCCCGGGAGCTTTTGAATAGAGCTGCTTTGGATTACAGTGTTCTGCAGAACCTGCCATGGGAAACACTGCTCTCATATACTTGCAAAGCAAACACACCGAAAGTTAACCATGCAGTTCACTGTTAGGTTCACAGTGATTAGAAGTAGCCTGGGAAGAAAAATGAGGAATTCATAAGAAATTTGGATATCAACCTGTTTTTTATGTTGTTGTTGTTTGTTTGTTTTTTAGTGAACAAAGGGTTATTATTTTGGTATTAGTGGTTAGTATTTTGGTATTTAGTAACCAATACAATAACAAATCCATAGGAAAACACACTAAAAGGAAACTAGGCTATGTATTAGAAATTATTGAAAAAAGAAAGACATTAATAAAATATACAAGGATTTAATTTTGAAGAAATGGAAAGGTTTTTTTTGGAGAAAAAAGCTAGCTTCCAAAATCATTCATAGTAAGGACAGAGTGCCACTGTTAATTTATAATCATAATAAATGATAATTATAAGAATTTCTATATTTACTAAAGGAAATTAGGATTTTTTTTTTCAGTAAACTATTTCCTTTTTCCCTAGTAGTGAAAACAGGGACCAGAAGAGATCATGATAGAGCCAGGAAAATAATCTGGTAAAGAAATGGAAACAGGGGCTGAGAAGGTGGCTCAGTGGTAGAGTGCTTGCCTAGCATGCATGAGGTCCTGGGTGGGTTCCTCAGCACCACATAAGCAGAAAAAGCGGGAAGTGGTGCTGTGGCTTAAGTGGTAGAGTGCTATCCTTGAGCTGAAGAGCTGAGGGACAGCGCCCAGGCCCAGAGTTTAGGCCTCATGACTAGCAAAATAAAAATTAAAAAATGGAAACAAGTCTAGCAATCATATTTCACACTTACTGGATTTTGAATTACTTATTTAAAAATAAAGAATTGAAAAATATATTGTTAATGATTCTACAATTTTCATATGTGTTAGGATAAAAGGATTAACCCAGCACTAGTCAGTAAAACATATTAAAATGAAGTTGAGCAGCAGAAGTAGTCAATAAATTTCCATAAAATAGATAAGAATTAATAACAAAATTATTTTAACTAAATGTTAAAACTGTTAAATAACTTAGCCTATAAATAGTATATAATTTATGAAAGGTATTTAATTACCTTTTTGTTCCACTTCTATTGGAGAGAGAGAAGTAAAGAGAGAAAGGAGAAAAGAGAATAGATTAATGGTACGATATTGGCCAAGCACTTTTTATTCACCTCTTCCAAACTGAAAATAATTTACTTCACTCATACTTGCTTCATTGAACATTATGGCTTCTTTTTTAAAATATTTAAATAAGATAAATTTTTCACAATAATTATAAGCTTTCAAGCACAGTCAAATTTTGGCAAAAATAGTCAGATCTAATAAAAGTAAGATTAACACACTGTTTTAAATTAAAAGAAATGTAATAGTCAAAGACCAGTAGTTGCATTTCAATGATGAGATCAGCAAATAAATACACAGAAAATTTTCAAATAATTGGGTTAGTTTTACTTATACATATTATAGTTTATACCATTATTCAACTCAATAATTTTGGTTTTTATGCAGCTCAAAGGACAGATTTCTTCTTTAAAAAAATCACCAACAGCAAAGCAAGCAAACAAACAAAAACTTCACAACTCATTTCCCAGTACTTAGCTTTTGTGTTTCTTGTCATTCTTAGGAGATATGTATATTATAAGTTAGCCATCAGTAGGGAAGGAGCAAATTTCAAATAAATGTGCTAAAAGCCCTTAGTAAAGTAACTTGATTTCTGCTCATCAATATGCAATATCATGATGAAAAAACCACTGACTTTTTGGAAAAGATATTTAATTAGAGGCTTGACATAAATAATGAACCTTGACTTTGGCCTCTTTTACATTCTTAACTGTGTCAACACACACTTGAGAAAGTAAGAGATTCCTAAACATGCTGCTTAAGTATATCATACTAAGTATACTCAAATCCCATTATTACTTTTAAGGTATTTGTCAAATATCATCAAAAATAATTCTGACAAAATATAACATGTATATGAAATTCATTGTCATCTTTACTGTATAAACTTGTTTCAGACACACTTATTTGCCTACATCCTAATGAGAGGAAATGGATAAACCAAAGCAAAGAGGTCAGGGAAGCATGGTATCATAGCTAAACTGCAAGATTTATATTTGAAAAACCAGTTTACAGATGATGTGTAACTAAGGCAATTTCAGTAGAAAAGACTGGATGATGTACAATGTACAGAAAGTAAATTTAAAACTCCAGGAGAGTTTTCAGAACAAGAGAGAAGTACTGTTTTTAATAATTATATTTGGGTGAAATTTTTGTACTTTGACCTAAATGCATATGTAGTCAATTCTTATCAAAACCGTATTTATTTCTATCTATTGAAATTCTTTAAACTTCAGAATCACACATTAGAAATAAAAAAGATGACTCCCCCAAATATGTTTAGTAATTTCAATTTCACTAATTCATGAACCTTCATTTTTAATAGCATTTCGTGTGTTTGTGTGTGTGTTTGTGTGTGTGTGTGTGTGTGCTGGTACTGAACCATGAATCCAGGGCCTTGCTCTCTCACTCAAACCATGCCTCTAGTCTGTCATTTTGCTGGTTAATTACAGATGGAGTCATGCAGACTTTTCTGTCCATCTAGCTTCAAACCAGGATCCTCTAATATCCTGCTTAGCTAGGATTTCAAGTGAGTGCCATGAGCTCCTGGCTTTAGACCTCAGACTCTACAATATGGTCCTAATTTGCTATCATGTCCCATTACCCTTTATTGACTTCAGAATATACTGGACTGGTATCATTCACAACAGATCAGTCAAAGCTTTATCTGGAAGAAAAACAGAGGATACGGGGTAGCGAAATCCATGCAAACACTGTAAGGTGAATATATCTAAAAGCTTCCGCTGTGATGGTTCTAGGTCCTATGCTTGGAATAATGTTCTAACAGACCTAAAATATAGGCATTCACAACAAAAATAAATAAATAAATAATAGATAAAGAAAGAAAGAAAGAAATCCAGTGTAGGTTTCCAGATTCAAACCTGGTAAGCCCAGAGCTGTGTGAGGAGCCTAAGGAATGAAGCATCCCAGAGTCAAGCAAGCAAGTTAATTTGATAACACAATCCGGAGATGGTCCATTCCTGATGAAGAATGGTCCAATAGCCGATTATTTTAGTAGAAACATATGCTGTTTTATTCTGCAAAGGCTGTATCTGGTGGCGTATTTCATATCTTGGGAATAATAAAACCTGTATTCAGACTGAGAAGCAAAATAAGGATAGCCATAACCTGAGATATTAAGTAGTATTCTCAAAAGTTTGGATGTGCCACTATTACAATGAAGGTTGAAGGTAAGAATACAAAAGCATAATTAAGTTGACCTTTTCTCAATTACTATCCTATAAAGACTTTACAATGAATTTGTTTCCTGGAATTAGTTCTATTTGTCCTTTGGAGAATTACATATGGAAATGTTTCTAAAACATGTAATGTCTACACTGTGAACATTAACCATCTCCTCACATGCAATTCTTCATGGCAAATATTTTAACAACTTTTTAAGTGTTGATTTTTCAAAACCTACATGATGTAGAAGATAGGATGTCTAAGAAAAAGAAGGGACTATGAATCTATTATAGTCTGTAAATATTATCTTATACTTTATGTAATTTTAATTTTTCAAAATCATTCATCTCTATTATCTCAACTGTCATTTGGCAAAATTTTACTTTTAATTTCTAGTCTTGGTCTGATTTCCAGGAAATTGGCATAAACTGTAGTGCAAGCAAATCTTGCCTCTGTTGCTTGCTAGTTATTCAAAATTAAGATTTATTAGGCAGGTCTGCTTTGGAGAAAATTATGATAGTCTTGCCCATGTCATGACTGGCTGTATCTCATTTATCATTTATTTGCTATTTTCAAGACTGAAGTAAAACAGACCTATAATTTAAGTTGAAATAAGCACACACAAATCATATTCCCATAGCAAAACTGGCAAGATAAAATAATTTGTTGTTGAAACATTTAGACTTGGCTAGTCATTGCCTCTTTTCTAATTCTAATGCTAAAAGCTTCCCATCTTTGAAATAGAAAATTAAAAGGATAGAACCATCAGTTGGACTAAATGTATACAGCTCAAGTAATAGAAAGCCTGCCTAGCAAGCACAATGCCTTGAGTTCAAACCTGAGGACCATAAAAAAGAAGAATGAGGAGGAAGAGGAAGCGAAGGAGAAGGAAAACCCACATAGTTTAAGCACATTATAACAAAGATTAAAAAACTGGTGGAACTGAATTTGGATGAACTGTATAAAATCAGATATTCAATTTCTTTTCTACCAGATGTCTTTCACTACTTAATGAATGTAAAGGAAAGGAAATTTTATGAGAAATTAGTGTCTCTAACTCATTAAATATAAAACTGGAGAAAAACAAAGGAAAAATATGGATGATCTTGTAAGTTTCACTGACAAGAAAAAGTTGTTGCTATAAAACCGACTGCAAAGAATTCGAAACACAGGGTTGAAATGCTGCCATCTCTCCTTTGTATAGTGAGATCATAAATAAATGAGTTGTACAATGACAGCTATTCCAAGGTCTTTCTCAGATCTCCTGTCTTTTAGCTGGTCCAATATCCTGAATTCTGACATTATAGCTGTCATTGCTCATTTCCAAACCTCTTTGCAACTAGTTTTTTCCCCTTTTCCCTCTTCACTTTTAATCTTCAAAGTATTTTTATTGTCCACTCAGCCTCTATAAATATGTTTATATATTCCCTTAATGTGATTTTATTGTCGTCCTTTGTCAAACTTAATGTCATAAGCTATATCCCGTGGTTAGAGTAAATGACAATTTCAAACAAAGGGTAATTTTGTTCTGTATCAAGAAAGAAACTGGCAAAAAGAAACCAGCAAATTTTCCTTTCAATCTTCTACAGTTCATAAAGTAGTCATAACATACAGCTTGCTGTTGTTTAGAAAAACAACATGTTATCAGTTCCAACCATTTTTGTACCATATGAAATACTTTTGAATTGCATTTTGTTGTTGTTGTTGGTGGTGGTCGTGGAGCTTGAACTCTGGGCTTGGGCGCTGTCCCTCAGCTCCTCATCTCAAGGTGAGCACTCTACTGCTTGAGCCATAGTGCCACTTCCAGTTTTCTAGTGGTTTATTGGAGATAAGAGTCTCATGGAGTTTTTTGCCCAGGCTGGTTTTGAACCATGATCCTCAGATCTCAGCTAGGATTAAAGGTGTGAGCCACTGGCACCCGGCTTGAATTGCATTCATTAATTAGAAAAGGTATGGATCAAATCACATATCATATGTTGTCAAATCTTCCTGAATTGCACTGTAAATTTACAAAGAGTTTGATGCATGCCAAAAATTGCTAGTGCCATAACTGAAATGTATAAAATTATATAGACTTCTAATGTTGTTTGAAATTTCTTTTCTTTTAAATTCTGTCATAGACCACATTTTTCTATCTACTGTGTAGATTTTTCAAATGAGTTCAATGTCATAATCCAGCAATGCTTCCATATTTCTGCCATAGGTGAATTAAAAGACACGTATGGGAATATAAGATGGTTGCCAAAATAGCAAGTAATTTAGATGCAGGCATGTTTTTAATTGAAATGTAGTGGTGTCTTAAATAAACTTATTGTGTTGGTAATATTTGGATTAAAATATTAAAATACATTTGTGTAATCTTACCCCAGAAACTCAGCAGTTAGGGAGGTGCCACAAAGGTAAATGAAATTATATAGAAATAATTATTCTGGAATATAATTTGTTGGACTAACATCTATGTCTATATAACCAGATATGTCTATGTCTATATAACCAAAAGCTCACAATAAGATTTTATATTTGAACAGCCTATTATAATTTTAAAAAGTCATATTAATTGCCTAATTTAAATCTTTAAAAGATCAGTGTGGTAGTTACCATTCCCATGAGGGAAGAGTTAACACAAACCCAAATAGTTATAAACACCTCACCCAGATCAACAGAGGAAAGTGCATAGATCTGTAAATTGTCTTATGTTAGACAATGTTTCTAGTGACATGGAAACTCAAGGAAACTTAGGGTTTTTGTGTCTGTTTGTTTTGTTTCTTGTTTCTTTTCTTTC